GTTACGCATGCCAGCCCACTGACTCCCGCGAAGTGCGTTGTTTGCGCGCCGGGGGTGTGGATGGAAGAAGAGGAGAGCTGGCCAAGCGGTGACTTGGTCGAGAAGAATGAAGGCCCTCACTTCGAAGCTGGCCTCAGTTGGAGCGTCTCGGCTCCCTGGTTGGGGTCCGAAAGACGATGAACACGTTTAGCTGGATACATTTGTTGATATGGCTAGGAGCCGACCTCAGCAGCGTTCGTGCTGTTATTTTCTTTTCTCACCCCATCCAACCACCATCTCATTAGTTAGCATTTTATAATTTTGCATAGGGAATTATATTTTTTCTGCTGCATAGTGGCCGGCAGATAGCTCACCGGAACCATGCCCATCACTTTTCGGTAGCTCAGCTGGCTTGCACATGTTGCATTTTATTCCCTTTTTCTTTTACGTATTACGGCACAGTAGCTGAGGTGTTACCAACTTTAGCTAACGTGTCTAGTGTGTGCTTTGCGTCTTTTCTGGACGATCACATATATTGATGAGTAGGGGATTGGGATATAATTATTTGAGAGTTCGGCACAGCAGGTTTCAAATCAGATAGTCTTCCACATGTCGGTGGAGGATAAGGCACGCCAAATCTCACTTGGCTTGTAAATAATGACGACCCGAAGCTGTGCCCCGTGACTCAGTGGCATAAACTGCTGACTGGCATTGCAAGCCGCTGGACGTGATGGGGGCGAATCCTGTAGGTTTCGAAGGATGCGCACTACTTGTGTACCCAACAGGTTTAAACTGCAGTTTAGTGCTTTTCCAGGTATGTGAAAAACTGGCTGGTTAGCAACCTGCTGCGACGAATTCTCATTTAATCAGTCCATAGTTTGCCGTCTGTCGATGACCTTGCCTTGTTTACACACAGCGTGGCTGCATTGCCGCGTTTGATCATGTCTCTCGCTTAGACAGCGGCATAGTTCGGACTCAGGATAAACACAAGCAGGACTCTCTTTTTCAGCATGCACCAGAAGTTTAATCCGCATACTTGCCGCAAATCTACTGCTGTGCTGATACCTTGGAATCCACCTTTTACTTTTCCTATGCGAAGAGTGTGATATTTATCGACCTGCGGACAGCGAGTGAGTTACGCATACACGTATGGAAGGCGGCAGCTGAATTCGGAAAGCTGGATAATCTGGTGTGCAACAATCATCAAATGACCATTGGGACGAATCTGATTATGTACCGTACAACGGAGCTGTCCGTTCTTCTGTATGGCAGTGTAGCCTGGACGTTTCATCATATTTACGTCCGTTATCTGGAGCGGTTCCATTAACAGCGCCTGAATCGAATTATGCGCAAAAGCTAGAGTGACTAAGCTGTTGACACAGAAGTACTGCACCGCAGTGAAATGTATCTAGTGCGTTGCATAATTCTGCTGTGGTACCTGGAGTGGCTAGGACATACCAGTCGCATGGATTTGACGCGGATACCCAAACTTCTGCTATGTGGACAGTTTAGTGCAGAGAAGCGGCGCTTTGGAAAACCGAAGTTACGTTACCAGGGCACCACCAAAGTGAGTTTATCAGGAACTAAGGTTGATTTCAGGTATTGGGAGTCAAAGAATGTTCCTCGGCGTGATTGGCGTGAGCTGATCAAGAGAGCGGTCGTCTAAGTGCTTCAGAAGGCACTGTTACATGCGGAAAAAGAAAGGTCGAATACGGAAGCGACAGCCGCTGGTGGTGGGTAACCCATCAACGGCAAGCGCATGATGCTGTGGCACTTGCGATCACGATGACCTTAGCCAAACCGGCCTCGTAAAAGATCAGTGTGGCTAAGTGGGTCAACATCTAAGCGAAGGCGAGTAAAGTTACAGATATTCATCATTAGCACAGCGCTTGGTAAGTACGTTGCTTCCGATTCATTTTATTAACCCAGGCAAGTAACATGGTCGATGTGGCACGTGTGCTACAACCTCTCTGCATTTGGTCTGTAGGTGTGCATGCGTGTTGGGTTTCTTGCATTTCATTTGCTGGCCGATGATTGATATCCCCGGTGTGGCTGCGCTCGATGTGCATATTGACGTGTTCACATGTGAAAAATCCGCAACCTCGGTTATACTGGCTCCAGGAAACAGTTGATCGACTATTGGTAAAACGGGATGCAGGGTCCACCTAATGGCGTTAAGCTGAAATGGTGGTTCCATCCAGTGTGGAATGGCTACGGCCCAGCCGCCGCCTTGTCGATGTCTGGTACACATGGTTCCCAAAGTAGATAGACAGGAATGTCGCTGCTCTGCATGCTGAAAGAATGTAGGCATGCTCCTTTGATGAAACACAGCTGTCATCCACATACCCCCGGCCTTATTCCTTCGGGTTTACACTTGATATGGGGTATGAGGATGGAGCGGTGTGTGGTGCACCGCAATCTACCCATGGTCGCTGAGTAGGCCCAAGCGTCTTGTGACTGACTCCATGGAGGCCGTAGTGACAAGCAAATCTGGAACCGGATGACGTCAACCATGCGTTAATGCAAAGTAGACCAATTCCTTATTTACGCGGCATTATTCGTGATGATAGGAGGAGCTGCGATAACGTAAAAATAGGCGCTATAAAGGTTGTGTTTCCTCCTATCTTCGGCAACTTATTGGCATAATAATGCGTTGTGTATGATTTGTTCTTTATCCTTTTACCCCATGAATCCACTGGAGCTCTTTTGGTGGAGGCAACATAATTCCTAGAACCATTTCCAGATGCGGCCTCTTCGTAAATTACGGGTAGTATATCATTGTGGTGCCACAAGGGCGCATCAGGACAGTTCATGGCTAATTTCTGAAAACAAATCTGTTAGATGTGTTTCAAGGCTGTGTAAGCAGGCGAAAACATTGAATGTGGCCAGTTATAATGGTATGAGAGTACCTTACCCGCGCACTCAGAAATAACGGCGTTGAGTTATTTTTAATTGTTTATTTTGCATGATATTAATTCTGGGGTGTTCCTACTTGACAGTGCTGACTTTCTTGGGTAGATCTATGAGCCATCACACCATGTAAGACTTCCAATTCACCATTAGGGAGACCGCTGGGACAAACCTATATGTCATTTGCAGCAGTAATAATGACCAACTTCACGTAGTCCCCTGGTGAATACTCTTAATTCATCTGGCCCATTTATCCAAATAGTAACATTAATGTCCATGAGTTCCTTTCACGAAGAGCACACAACTCATTGGAGACCTGCATCATATTCCACAAGAGGTTAAAGGTCTTGTAGCTAACCATCTGACGGAAGTAGCCATCGCTTAGTTACGTTGCACCAAACTACTAGCTGCTGAATGACCGCACCCATGCGTGAGTCCATTTACTAAGACAGACATAACACGAACCTGGGTGTTTCGGTAGCAGAGTAATGCATTCCTCTTATTTCCTATCATATTTTCTTCGTATAAATGGACTAAAAGTATCACTGGATGAAACTGGGTACTTTTGGACTAATGTTTGACTCCCAAGACAATATGATTTAACGTAACTCAGAAAATGAAGTTCCGGATCATCTATATTTCAATTACATGGAAAGGACTAGCAACCTGGTTTGTAAACAGCCCATCTGATGCTTCACAGTCAAGTCTAGCAAATCTTATGATTCCTACTCAATGTCAAAAATGAACCGGTCAGCAGCGGACAGCATGTCAACAGTGAAGCACATGGTGAAGATTTACAAAACCGGTGTTTCAGTTTATCACTGTAGCACCGATAAGCCAATGTGATCTTGTGCTTTACAGTTGTGCTCAGATGAGTATGAAAGTAGAAATTTACATTTGATATATATCCGTGTACTGAGAGATAGGTAAAACATGATGGAAAAGGCGAAAGGAAAAGGCGGAGTTATTAGTTTCAAAGTTATATAGGAAACGAAACTTGCTCATTTTGACCATGCGCCTGGGCCTGACATCGGTCATATCCAAGACGAGAGTCATTCCTGCACAGAAGCGACAGTAATAACATCCACAAACGGCACCGATGAGTTTCTCGACATAAAAGTATCTATCCAACTGTCATCAGTATCAGTGTTCCATTGGTTGAAAAACGAAATAATGCTGTGGGTCTGACGAAGGAATTTGCTTTCCAATATACTGTTTAAGAGACGCCGTATTTTTACAGGCTTCCGTCGACTAGACTCTCCACATTCAGCCCGGACAGGAAAACGTTTTTATTTATTGTGGACCAATTATTCTTTTGTCGCATGCTATCTCGTCTTTTTTGGGCGATACTGATCATCTACGCGGCGGTCACTATCATTTGCAGCGTATCATTACTCCATTTTACCATTTGCTGGCGAGGTATATAAGTAACAAATATCATTTTTTGTAACTTAAACTACTATGTTGCCTACCAGCTTTTGGTAGCCTTATTGTGTGAATCGCTACAGACAACTCGGAATTGAAGAGTTTCCTGAAGTGTCGTGTCTAATAACCGATTTGAATTTGCAGCCATACTACTGGCCTACTTCCCACAACGTAGCGAAGCGTTTCATTTGGTTTCGTTACGAACTAAACTCCGTGCAGCCTGACACATCATGTTATGCTGTCTTTAGTTTAGTCAGTAAATTTCTGTATCTGCTTCTGGTTGATTCTAGGTTTCGCTGGGGCAGTCTTGCATACTGGTTGAGGAACGCCAATTTGTGACAAGGGGCTGCTCGATGGAAAGTAGACCTTCAAGTGCACATTCATGTAACACTCACCTACACGATTAATCTACATCGAGTGCTACTCACGATACGCACCCAATGTTATTAAGACAGACAGTCATACAGCTCATACGAACAGAAAGATCTAACCACTAATTGTTTTCTTGAAGTTAAATGCTTGACTTCGTGAAGCCACATAGTCCGAGTAATGTTGAAATATGGTTTGGTGGCAGACCATGTTGTTTTCGTTTTTTTAATCTGTTTGCTTTATGTGCATCTGGTTATTCATTTGAGATGAAGTATGCTGTTGCAATGGCTAAGTCAACGCCGTTTCGATATGACTAGATCCCCAGCAACCGGTGTCACCAATCAAGCAGCAGATGTGGGTCCCAATGACGATCTGGATTTTGACTTAGATGCTGCGGAAGCAATGGTGAACAAGTTTGGAGGGGACCAGCGGAACACAAACGCCGCCAGTGCTTCACTGACAGCTCAGGGTTCGGGGGAGTTGAAGAATGTGTATGCTGTGAAAACAGGTATGGTTTCCACAATTGTTGAGGATAAGTCCAAATTGTATTGCTTCCGCTTCGTCAGCCACAGCCACTTCGACTCCACCTAGCTATAGTGCGTAGGGCTGCTACATTGTCTATTCGAGATACAACAACAGCTTACATCCCTTCCAATACCATCGATCTTGGATTCCTGGCCCCGTTCTTGATTATGTGGCAGGAAAATTAGTGCTTGTGTAGTCAGGGCTATACTTTACAAGATAGTACTTTGTATAGCTAGATAGAATCAGTTCCATTGTCAAGTGTTGAGTGGATTGCTAATGTGGGCAGCAATCAACATTCATCAGTTAGAGAAATACCTCACCGTACTACGATGAATGATCATGCGGTCAAGTCTTCCTGAGTCACACCAGGATGAGAGTCTCGTCCGCCTCTTGTAAGAATGCGCCTTTGCCTTTGAACTTAGTAGAGAATAATCCTGATAGAATGTCCAACTTCGCCACTGTCTTTCCAGTTTTGTCAACTCTCTGGGAAGTTCTTTATTTCAATCAAATATATGCTTATTTCATCCAGATGATGAAGATGTTTGCACTGTGTCCTCTATAAATGGAGGTGCACTGGAGGAGAACAGCGCTTCTTTCCCCCACAACGTGAGTCAGTTTCCTACTTCAAACGTTGCCGCTATACACTCGAGAACAACTACCCTGGGACCCAGACCTGTGACACGATTCGGAAGGACCACGCAACCAGAAACAGCCAGTACAACAGGGAGTACTACATTTAACCAGTCGACTGAAATCAATGTGTGGAGTAAGTAATTGAAGATCCGGTCTCTAACTGCTGAAATTTCCTTAGTCCATATTTACACAAATACCGGTCGTTTAACTTTGCCGGATGCTGACGTGTTTGCAAATGAAATCTTGTGTAACTAGCTTATCACTAAGTAAATAGTCCTCTCCTTAGTAAGCAACCTATTGGCCTCAGGTATTTATTCATTTTTCGTTAAAAAGCACAATACTCTGAGTCAACCTTTGCCGTTGCACACTTAATGAGTTGGCTAAATTTACGCAATAGGATACAACTACCATCATCGCTTAACGTTCAATTAGTTTGCTGTTATCACTCGGTAGACGGCCTTCCAAAGAAACAATCATTGCGGACTAATGAAAGCGAAGCGACAGCATCCACGCGCCACTTGCTAACGCCATCTACTTTCCATGTTCTCGAAATGAGTCTGTAAACATGTTCCCTAGCCTTAATCGGCCGATCATATGCCTTTAGAGTTTGCGGCTGAGACTTTGGTTTCCTCATCCGTCGTTAGTATCCGTGTACACGGTATCCAGTCTTCACTTTCAGCTGTACTTTGGAACGTTGTGGTGATGAACTGAGCGTATCTATCCACTGCGTATATATTAGCGCCACGAGACAGATATCTACCTGGGCTTTGGGGTATGAACAAATATGAGCTCATACGAACCACCTGGAATCTACTGCTGACGGGTGGAGATTGAACTTGGCGTATTTCAATCTACCAAAGATTACTGTGTGACCAGTTACATTGTGTGAAAGTTAGGGCAAGGCTATCCAAAGTTTTCGTAAGGAGGGCTACATTGGATGAGGTAAAAATATGTCGGGCCACATTCAGCCTGCTCTTTTGATAAGAACCAAAAATGACTTATTAAAACTTTTAATTACAAGTCTGCGGGCCAGTTGAATTCTTAACGCGGGCCGCATTTGGTCCGTGGGCCGGATTTCTGACATCCATGTTTTAGAGCCACATGTAGTAACCTGTTTCGGAGATGGAAGGCACTTCCCACTTGCTGTGTTGACTATATACGAACAACGGTGGTAAGCCGCATCGCTTGTTACGGTACACGTTGAACACGACCTGCAAAATAAATGTCTTAGTATAGGAAATAAGTTTTCGCGTGAAGTTCAATTTATAGTGCGACACCTGTGTAATATGCTGCTGGTCGATGATTCTAGGAGCTTTCGTGTCCAGTGTGTAAGTAACTAGTAATTAGCATGTGGGTCTAGGAAACAAATACTACGTAGGCTGTCGGATGTAGTTATTTCAACAGCCACCTAGTAAGTGACCGCAGCGCGCGTAGCGTGCGACTGGTTAACACCCAGTGGTGGAGTTTCATGCCTTTGTCAAAAATGCTGAAGTGACGAGCCTGAGCTGAAAGGGTGGTAAAGCAAGCACAGATGATGGCTCTCTGACTGAATTACAGTAACCTTCTTACCGTATGTGTCGTTACAGTTCCACGCTCGGACCTGTTACACCGAGTGGCCGGTGCGTGGCCAACAGGAGAGTCATTCGGTGCTCGCATCTCAGTTGTGTAAGGTTCCACACATCGCTTTACACCATCCAAATGCTGTCTAAGGTATGGGCATGATAAGCGTCAGGCAGACAGTACCTACTATAATGGTAGTTAGAACTGAAGAAACTCGCGGTCTGCCAACTCGAAAGGACTGTATCTGTGCCTTAAAAGGTTGGCAAACCATTTCATCGTCATTTGGGTTCCCCACATAGAAGTGATGCGCTTTGTGCCAATATCTACACCCTTATAACTATCACTTACACTTAAAACAGCTCTTTATAATTTGGGTAAAAGTTATTCCACTTTATTTGGTTTGTTTAGTTCTCTTCTTTTGCTGCATATTCTGTTTCAATTTTGCGTTTGCTTATCCTCAAATTCTATTTTTGAGACAATTAGTTCCATTTAACATTTTAAAAAACACTAGGAGAAGACGAAAGCTGGCAGGAGTTACCATTTCATCTCGTCCACTCAATTACAATACAATAACAGGAAAATATATGCATCTACAGTCAGAGTATGACCGGGTAAAATAGAGGCAGGGTGGGGTACAGATAAGCCACCCCTACGTCCATGGGAGCCTTAAGTTTATAAGCAATTGTTTTTGCACACAGAGTGCCGGTTTGATCCTGCTGATCGCAACAGCCTTGGCGAAATGCCGGTGTTAGCATGTCTCAACAAGATTGTGAACTGTGTGGTAGGGTCGAATGGATGACAAGTAGACAATAAGTGTCTACCTATAGATGAGACAGGTGGCTTTCGTGAACAGTTGGTAGACGAAGCGGAAGAGTGGATAATCTCGCGCTACACCCACGTAAGTACATGTTCCCTTTCTCTGGAACAACATTCTCTCGGTACTGCCTACGCAGCATGACTCGCAGCTACAAGTGAATTGGGAAATGTAGTGTGAAATGGCGCCAACATGTTTCTTTGCTTTGTTAGGAGAACAAGCACTTCTATGTTATTTGTTTGATATCCCGGTGTGGCTGCGCTTGATGCGCATGTTGACAATGTGTCTAACTGTCTAACACCTTGCGCCTCGATTGCTGGCTCCAGGTGACTGTGCATGGTTAGTGGGGGGGGGCGTGGTGCACGGTCGTCGTCGCCGTGCTAGGCTCGAAGAGTGGTTTCATCTAATTTGGAGCGGACTACGGCCCAGCCACCGCCTTGTGTACGTCTGGTACGCATCATTCGCTATATAGATAGACATGAAGGCTGCTGTTGTGCATGATGAAGAAGTGTGGGCCGTCTGGGATGATGCAATATGGCTCCCATCCACATGCCTCCCGGTCTTATTCCTTCGGGTTTACACTGGACATGGGGTGTGTGGATGGAGCTATGGGTGGTGAGCGCAAGCCACCCTTGGTCCTTCTGTAGTCGCAGGCGTCCTGTGGCTGTCCCTCTGGAGGCCACATTGACAGGCAAACCCAGAACCGGATGCTACCAACCATAACTATCAGTGAGTTCTGAGGTCTGCCTTGCAACTTGGTTTTATGATAACCAGACTTCGTTATGTTCGCATAAGCACCGTTCGTGTAGTCATTTTGGCTGAATGGCTACAACACCCGATCGACATTGAATTTGTCATTGCTTCGGAGCCCACTGGTACTCGGTCTGACCAATGAGGCCTTGCGTTGTGACAGGGTTGAGCGCATTGCGGGGACCCGGTAACATGGACTGAGTCTGTTTAATCATTTCCATTTATATCTTTTTGCTTCCTGGTGATTTGGAGCTCAACAGTGTCTAGGACATTCCGCTGGAGCGCCTGGCTGAACAATACTGGCCGTTGCGTGCGACATAAATAACAAGCATGATTTCGCTTGAGACCAAATATTTTCATGAGAAAGTGATATACACCAGTCCCTAAATTACACTGAGGTTAGTACCTTCAGGCTAGAAAACACTGATGTAATGACACATTTCTCTTAATGATGTTACCATCTCTTTGAATCCATCTGATGCCGTCTTGATTCATTTATTTTCTTCGCAGTCAACAACGCGGGTTCAAACGTTACACCCCAACGGACACCGGATGCGATCATCGATGATCTTGACTCAGACGAAAGTCTATGAAAGAATTTTTACTGACGTATATTGCTCCCAGCGCATTGTCCAATGTTTGGCTAACTTCATAAATCCATGCGTTCACAAAACTCTACTCCATGCGGCTCGTACGCATATTTGAGGGGTCGTGCATTTCACTAACTAGAGAAGTCCTTCATGAAAGCAGATATTTTCTAAGCTTGCGCGCTTTATCTTTTTCAGTTTGTTAAGTGGGAATAACGGACTTTTTAACTCTGTTCTTGTATGCCCTCTGAGTCTTTCTGCTTAATTCGATCATTCGATCACAATATTCAGGCGAATGTGAAATTATGTAGTTGTAAGTTCATTTTGAAGTACATGTTGCACGTTCGGACTGCGACGCACCATCTCATCCTGAGTCGCCACTGGCATTGAAGCGAACCTTGGCCAATTCGATCAATAGCACCGCAGTTAAAGCGCATGGAAATTGGATGTTGCCAGCACGAAAATACTGCACTGCACAACCATCGCAAGCAAATTACACTAAGAGCATTTTGAATGACCCTCCCTAACCAGTCATTAACCGTTGTGTCAAGCGTTGGCCGTCGTGACCCGGTGGCTAAAGGGGTAAAGATCAAAACGAAAATCCCAATGGTCCCGGGTTCAAGGTCTGCTATCTTTACCTGATAACATCAGGTAAACCCGAAACACATCGTAGAATGCAGTGTTTTCGGGTTGGCGATGTCAATTTTCCAGCTAAGTGAGTGATTTCGCCATTTTTGGAATATACCAATAAGCTAGGTTGCTCAAAATGACCCAGAAGCAAGGACGTATAAAATACATAGGTAACCTAGTCACAGGTGTTTGCTGATGTAGTCTGCCCGGTACGTAAATTTTGCAATGTAATCCTGAAGACGCCTTGCAGGGTATCAGAGCATTTTAAAAATACACTTTTGCCGCAGAGTATGAACTAGTATAGATTAAGGAAGAGGTTAGCACCCCTCGTTCCGACTAGTCGTTTTTATCATCCATGTGAAACCATCCAAAAACAAAGACGCTGGGGAATTTAGCATCCAGTGTAACTGCTCAAAATTTACTGGCCAAAGAAGATTCGCCCACTATGTTCAGCATTCGCGGTGTTGAACGTCACCTTGACTCAGTAGTTAAGGTGGTTGGTTTTCAGTTTACAGTTCACTGGGCCTAGCCTGCTCACGTTTAGTCCCTTTTGCAGTATCACAATCCCGGAAGCGAATTTTAGTGGCTGCGTGACAGCAAGCGTCGGTTCTGCTATTTAAACCATGTCGATGTGCAGCGTAGTCCTGACTTCCTTGGTTAATCAAAGAAGCGGTACAACAATGGCGAAACAAAATTTCAATCGAACCCAGAATCGCAGTCAGTTACGGAAAATTACATGCACTTTTTCAGCAGCCGCAGTAGCATCAAGCAAACTTCATAAAATCCCTGAGGCATTTGTTTGAAATGTTATAAAATCAAACATACAAGTAGAATGGGAAGCGGAACTGAAGGTGACAATCTAAGCAATTTTATACGACTCACGTGTACCAGGATTTGAGTCCTAAATATAATAAGGCTTCCATCCCGTAGTCCACAGGCTATAAAGCACAGCCCAGTCCAGAAAAGCACCAGGCGCGTTTCGCAAATTGGGGCTCGTCAGTAGTGCGCATTCCCTCGTACCTCTAAGATCGAACCCACGGATGCTAAAGGCAGATACAACTAGCCAGCAGCTTAAGGCAGTGAGGCTTGGGGGACGTTGCCTGGGCTACGTAATTTGCTAACTAACTGGGATATAGCAGGACCTATTTTCCACTATCACTAAGAGTGGTTAGCCTGCGAGAGGATGACGTCCTCTTGCTAGACGCTATATCTTATGGCAATTGAATCAAAGAGAGGCTTTTTTACTTTTAAAGTACTCACGAGTAGCAGGGTTTTACTTGTAATTATGATAAAGCTTTCATCTTAGTAGATGACAAGCTACAAGCACAGCCCATTCCGGAAAAGCAACAGACGTGTTTCGTCCTATTGGGGCTCGGCTGTTTTATGCATTTCCTCGATCCAACCACATGAGTCGTCCGATGTTCCTACTCATGGGCGATTTCAACTTGCCCCGAATACAGTGGCCTGAAGCTGAACTTCTCCCCGGCCACTGTGAAGTCGAGAGGAAGTTTACGGAGTTGATATTTGAAACCGCGGCCACACAGCACATCAACCAACCGACACGCATTACAGCGCGCGCGACTCCATCATGCTTAGACCTGCTGTTGACTAGCTGTGAGCAGCGTGTACATAACATTCAAGTCTTAGAGCCTCTGGGAGCGAGTGACCACTCAGTGATCATAGGCAGTTTAGAACTACCGCTACCGTATCCTCTCCCACTAGAGTCAACCTTCAACTATTGGAAGGCGGACTTTAATGGCCTCATTCGAGCAGCGAGCCAGATAGACTGGTCTTTACCACAGGATTCATCTATTGAAACCTGTTGGGCTATCATTAAAGAGGGAGTGAAATCGTTGTGCGCCCGATTTGTGCCCCTCAAATTTCGGAAAGTTGGGCCAGTCAAACCACATTGGTTTGACAAAGAGTACAACAAAATGGCCCGACGGCGACGTAGACTATGGAACAAATTCGTGTTATCTGGCTCTGATGAGGACTACAATGCCTACAAGGTACAACGAAATCGCTGCAACAACGCGAAAACAAGCAAACGCAGAAGCTTCGAAGAGGAGCTTGCAACTGCCGCAAAAACTGCTCCCAAGAGGATCTTCGCATATGTGAAGCGGCGCCTAAGGCCTATAGCTAATATCCCAGTGTTAGAAGGCTCAGAAGGACAGCCTCTAACCTCGAGTACAGATCGTGCGTCAGCATTGGCAACGCACTTCGCCTCCGTATTCGCAAGTGACCAGGTGTCTGTAATGAGTTCGACGAGCACCGCTCCAGCCGAACTTAACAGCCTGGACTGCAATATTGAGGATGTACGCAAGATTCTAGCAAATCTTGACGGGACGAAACCTGCTGGGCCAGATGGTATACACCCACTAATCCTCAAGTCATTATCGACCATAATTGCACCTTCTGTAACTGAACTGTTTAACAGGTCACTATCCACTGGTCTACTACCGGACGACTGGAAATGCTCAGTCGTAAAGCCTATCCCGAAAGGTGGTAACCCAAGCAAAGTGGATAACTACCGGCGTTTCTGCCTGACGGCAGTTTTGGCAAAGACGCTCGAGAAGATTGTGAAGAAGAGCCCTCTGCAACTTCTCGAGTCGAAAAACCTGTTAACCTCCGCACAGCATGGTTTCCTGAAAGGTCGTTCGTGCATCACCAACCTACTGTTGACGAGGCACGAATGGTTACAAGCGCTGAACCAAGGCCAATCGGTTGACGTCATTTGCATTGACTTCAGTAAGGCTTTTGACAAGGTTAACCATGCAGTGCTCCTTGACAGACTGAGGATGTGCGGTGTTGGTGGTTCGCTGCACAAATGGATCAGCAATTTCCTTATTGATCGGAAGTGGAGAGTCCAGGTGGACAACCATCTAACTGAGTGGTATCCATCGAGCAGCGGCGTGCCCCAAGGCACTGTACTGGGCCCGATATTGTTTCTAATCCATATAAACGATGTGCCTCAGCTACTACAATCACATTGTGCTTTGTTCGCAGATGACTTGAAAGTGTGGAGAGTAATCCGCACACCCAATGATTGCGATTTACTTCAGCAGTATCTCGACCGCCTCTCAACATGGTCTGCAGAGGTTAACCTTCCGATCAACCCTGCCAAGTCGCAATCATGAGGTTGGGTAAGTATGATCACGGCCGAACGTACACAGTGGCTGGACAACCGTTGCATCCCGCTCCTTTCGTGCGCGACCTCGGTGTACTCTCACGCTGCGACCTAAAGTCCATTGACAACACGAATAGGCTGTACCAAAACAGCCTTCGTATGCTTTGGGCTCTCAGGCGCAGCTTTAGCACTTGGTCCGAAGAGGTTGCCTCTCGCCTCTTCGTCTCGATAATACGACCAATGCTAGAGTACGGCACTCCCGCATACTTTCCCATCACCCGTGGCGAAGTAGCAAAGCTAGAGCGGGTGCAGCATGTAGCCACCAGGCTTATTCCCAATTTACGATGTAGGTCATACGAAGAGCGATGTAAGAAACTAGGGTTTTTTTTTTTTTTTTTTTTTTTTCTGAGGGTTGATCTAATCATGACGCACCGGATATTACATCTGGGTGATTACCCCATGTTGAGACAACTGCTTCATCTGCGCACACCAAGCAGCACGCGAGGACACCGGTATAAACTTATCGTCCCGGATTTGAAGCGGGTCGCCCATCAACTCTGTTTCGAACGCAGAGTGGTGAATGTCTGGAACGACCTGCCTCAGCATATAGTAGAAGCGAACAGCGTGTGTAAATTCAAGATGCTACTAGACCAACAATTTGCAGAGGCAAAGTACAGAGAGCGAAACGATAAATCAAAAGTTCATGTCCGAAAACGACGAATGATGCAGCAACACAGAGCAACCTCTACTCGCTGCTTCGCACCAGTTCTCAGTTCTCAGTTCTCTAAGGACGGTCGAACGCAGTGCCTCTAGAGGCCTCTCCTGGATTCAAATGTTATAGATATAGCGCCTTGCAAGAGGACGTAATCATCTCGCATCCTACCACTGTTAGTGACAGTGGAAGAATTTGGTGGTCTATCCCAGTTTGTTTGCAACTTTCGTTTTTCAGCCAACGTCCCCCATGGCTCAGTGGCTTAAGCTGCTGGCCGGTAGGCAGCTGTCTCTAGCGGTCATGTGTTCTATTCATTTTAGAGGACCTAGGTTCTGCGCACTACTGACAAGCTTTGATAGGGCGAAAAGCGTCGGGTACTTTTCCGGACTATGCTATGCTATGTAGCTTGTGAACTACTGGGATTAAATACTTATCATAATTGCAAGAAAGTTTTTCTTAATTTTAAAGTTTGTTTAACTTGTATCCTACTACATATGTGTTCACTAATTGGGAATCCAGAGAATAGCACCCTTTCTG